CAGTTCAGTGGGTCCAGATGGTTGAGTATCAGAGTGTTCCATCTCATTTCCCTTTGGGGTTGCTGTAGGTGTTCTGGAAGTCTTTGAGACTTATTTACATGTTTTCTCATTTCGATGGGGTGGGGGGCTGTTAGCGCCTGCACAGATTACCTCCTCTGAGCTGGGTGAGGTGGGACAGGGGCCGGGAGCAGCGGTAGGGATTGTGGCCCAAATGCCCTTTCTTGTGGGCTGGGAGCAGCGGGAAGGATGGTGGCTGGGAAGCCCCATCCTCTGGACCAGGAGCAGTGAAATGGTGGCTCAGAAGCCCCTACCTCTGGGCTGGGACCGGTAGGAGGGATGGTGGCCTGGAAACCCCTTCTTCTGGGCCAGGAGCAGTGGGACAGAAGGTGGCCCAAAAGCCCTTTCCTCTTGGCTGGGAGCAGTGGGAGGGATGGTGACTGGAAAGCCCCTTCCTCTGGACCAGGAGCTGTGGGATGGTGGCTCAGAAGCCCCTACCTCTGGGCCAGGAGCAGTGGGACTTAGTACCTTGGTCTGGTGGACTGGTGTCCTCTGCATCTTAGTAGTGTGGAACCAGGTGGCTGACTGTCTGCAGCGAGGTGATTCGGCATCTTCTGTGTGACTTGGGACCTCGGCAGGGCGTGCACAGACCTGCCTGTCTGCAGCAGGCTGATTTGGCGTGTTCTGCGCAACTCAGGACCTCAGTAGAGTGTGGGCAGACCTGCCTGTCTGCAGTGGGGTGATTCGGTGTCTTCCAGGTGACCCGGCACCTTGGTAGATCGTGCACTGACCTGCCTGTCAGCAGCAGGCTGATTCGGCGTGTTCCATGCGACTCAGGACCTCAGTAGGGCATGGGCATACCTACCTGTCTGCAGCGGGGTGATTCAGCATCTTCTGTGTGACTAGGGACCTAGGTAGGGTGTGCGCTGACCTCCTTGCTGTATTCTTAATAAATTGACTGGGTCGATTGGCATATCCTCTCCTTTGCCATTGATTGATTCAATAAACCCTTACTCGTTTCGATGAAGAGATATTTTTGGAATATCTGTTCTATTTCTGATAGCAGTTGTTCAGACCAATGCTTGCAGTCTACTGGATAAGACAAATAAATGATGCCAGGTGAGTGAAAAAAGAAGGTGGTTATGCTGACTGATTTGTGTTTGGGGTAGGAGCCTTGCCTGTGATCATTTAGCCTCTAGGTCTTTCCTTTCCTCTTGACTCTGAGTTTGTGGTAGCCAGGACAGATTTGTGGAGTAGTCTGAGCAGTCCCTCTGATGCTAAACCATTAAGAGGAGCCTTCAGACTGACAAATCATGTATTTCCTTCTCCTTTCTGATGAAAATTTGGAATAAAATACAGTGCAAACTTGTTTCATAGGTTATTGGACAAGGCTCAAATTCTCTCTTTAATAGATTTACTCTTCTTCAACATTGAATGAGCTAGTATTTCCTCTGCTTGACTGTATTAGGATTTCATTCACACATAATTTGTACCCAGAAACAAATTATCAATACAGTACAAATAATAATGGTAGTCATAACAAATAACTTTATATTGTCTCTGGTCCTTTACAGTGTCTTTTCAGGGAAGCTTGAGGAAAGGCAGTGTTGTAAAATGGTTGATTCTATGGGCTTTGAATTACATCATTGCCAGTGGCTAGATGAGTATCCTTGCCAAAGTTATAAATCTCCTTGAGCCTCAGTTTTCTCATCTATGAAATGGTGTGATCAGGAAGCTCCCTACTGCCATCACAAGCTCTGAGGGCAGAGAAGCAGAGCCAGTCCCAGCACCCAGAAGGAATCTCCCC